AGGGGCGGGGCATCTAAGAGAGAACAGGCTCGCTGACCAATCAGAAAGAAGGATCCGCCCCTTCCTGAATGCTACAGTGCAGTGCATCAGGGAGGTGCCAGCCCATGAGGATGAAGGGCGCTGGGTCCTAGAGCCCTCCGGACGGCAGCAAAGGAGGAGACTACTGCCCCGGAGCGCGGTGTCGGCCGGGAAAGAGTCCCGGGCAGCTCCGCTCCGCTCCGCCCCGCGGGTCACTTCCCGGGTGAGCGAGTGTCAGCGGGAGCCCTGGGTGCAGGATCTGCTGCCCCGCGCCCTTGCCCGTGGTCCCACCAGAGGCGCTGCTGGGGCTGGCATGTGGAGCAGCGGGAGCCGAACACCTACCTTGGCTCGGGACCGGCGCTCCCATGGCGATCCCGGGCGGGCACGTTGTGCAGTCGTACAGCACGTATTGAACACAGTGCTCACCGGACACGGTGTACAGTATTTACACCCTTGGTCCCATTACAAAAGACTTAAGTAAAACCAAACCAATAGTATTGTGAACTTTCCAACTGCAGCCACCAATTTTACTACGCGTAGTCGCCAGTACACGGTTTAAATGATAGCTGGTGGGAAGGGGCACTTCAACTCGTGTCGCACACACACGAAATTGGCTCCACTAATGGGAATGGGAAGGTGCCAGAGTCTTTTCCATGGTACCCAGTGACAGGATGAGGAGAACTGGCCATAAACTAAAACACAAGAAATTTTGTCTCAGGATGAGGAAGAAGTTCCTTACGTTGAGAGTGGCAGACCACTGGCACAGGCTGGCCAGGAAGGCTGTGCAGTCTCCTAGTCCGAAGACAATCAAACCCCTCCTGAACACCTCTGGGCCACCTCTGTAACCTGCTCTAGGTGGCCCTGCTTTGGCAGGGGTCTTGGACTGCATGATCTCCAGAGATGCCTTCCTCGTGAGTCTGTGACTTAAAAGAAAACAAATGCATAGTATTGACTTAATACGAATTTGGTTCTTGCGTGCAGGATGGACAAAAGAAGGGAAGGTCACGGTCTTTGGGTATTCAGGCCAATGTAAGTCATGAAAGAACCACCCTACTGCTCATGTTCCTGGCAAATAGTCAGCATTAGTAACAATGCTCTTGCCAGTTAACTTTATGAGCACATTAATAAAAGATGAACCATTTGATGCATTCCTCCAAAAGTAAACCTATCTACAGTACTGAAAGCAATTCAACTTTGAGCAAACCTTCTATTTAATTATAAATGTGTAATAAAATTTGAGCTTTTAAGGTAAAGAAAGTATTTTCCCAAATTATTTTATGCTAAAGCTTGCAGAGAGTTTTCTCTGGAACATATGGGCCATCATGAATTTTTTATTTAGCAAATGATACATGAAGAAAGATGACAGCATAGCTGGAATACTGCATACACTGTGTGACAACTGTCTGTGCCACTCCACAGTTGGAAATAAACACATTAAAAAGAGCATAAGCTCGTATCAAAGATTAAACAAGCCACCAAACAAATCAGTCTTTGCAAACCTGTCTCGGAGCTTTAGATGAGAACGCGTACCAGTCCCCCAAGGGTTGCTGACTCACCACAGAAATGCCAGGGCACAATCCTCTTCTTTCTCCTCTTCTTTCAGAATTGTACTGGCAGCATTAACTATGAGTTGGGGTGCCTGGAAAAGAACTCAGGGCCATCAGGTTTTTCTTTAGCAAGTACCTTATCGGCATATTCTCCCAGTTCAGATTTACTGATCCATGGTTCTGCGAGTATCGTGTCACTGATCCTGTTCAAACAGCAGTCCCACAAACAGCTGCACTGGCAAAAATAAAGTGATGTAAAACTGGCAAGGAGCAAGAAAAAGCAGGCAGGGCTACAGAACTGGCATTTTTGTAAAGCCATCGTTACCACAAAGAAAAATAAAATCACAACCTCAGTGGAATAACAGTGAATACCTAAAGGTTACATAGAATTTAGTGGATGACGATTAATTCATCTCAACCTCCAGGAGAAAGAAAAAAAGAACAGGCTTTTACCTTGTCTGCAAGACAGATTTGAACATCATGAACATGACCACAGACTACCTATGCATAGGTTATCTCCTGCTCTAATGTTTTTAATAACACATTGGACAAAGACAGACTATTTTTTGCCCCATCCTACACTCACACTTAAGAAACATTTCCACATGCCCACAAACAATTCAGCAGGTAATTGGTACTATTCAGTAATCCAAGAGACTTTATGAGACTGCTGGCCCACGTAGTTTGACCTGCAATAATGTCACAGCATGGTTATATCATTGTTAAAGTCACTTATAATTTGAAGCTGTTTTGTACAGTCATTGGGTGCTTAGCCCTTCAACTCATGTCATCAAACAACAGTGAAAGCCTTTCCATAAAGAGGACAAAACATTGGAAATATAAGCAGCTTACTGTTGAAAAGTATTTTATATTAAAAAACCTCCAAAACCCACAAATCCAACTAATGTCAAGGTACAGATTCTCTCAAGGAGAGGGAAATCTGGGTAGTTACCTTTGGCAATAGTATAAAACTGAATATGCATAAGGCTGCTGATGACAAGCTGCAGCTCCTACTGACTGCTCTTCATTCACATTCACAGTGTTACTACAGTAAACGTGTTGATGAAAACAAGCCCATCTTGACACCTGTCTTTTCACACGGGAACTTATGTAGAAATCAGACCATGAGATAAAGGTATCAACTAAGCAAATACAACAGAGCAAGGGCACTTTTTCCTGGATCTGACAGTCAGGCACCGGTAAAGGTCTTACGGCATATAATACACATTTTCTCCTTTAACAGGTTGCAGGGGTTTTTGTTTAAATTACAATTTTTCTTGTATTTATCCTGGATACCATGATAGCCATGGTAAAGAAATCACATTAGACAATAGTACATATGGTTGAGATAGGCGGCAGTGTTTTGCTTTTATTTCAGGAATAACAATACTAGAACATCCAGGAAAACAGCTCATACACAAACAGTTCAATGGTTTGGAGATACCGACACTAACACGTCACATTTAACAATCAGCCTCACTATACTTGAACAGCATTCTGGTGTTCTGGACACATGCAGAACATGAGAAAAGTTACCTGCATCTCATGTGCAAAACTTAAATGACACCATAAGAACAAATCTGAACTAGGAGGATTGTAAATTCAGCAGAAGAGACATCAGCATCACCCAAATGAGCCAGGAAACAGAAAATTTAGCTTTAAGATGCTTCCCATTAATTCTTAAATTTTAACCCAATTTTATTACTTCCTAAAGAGGAGTATTTTCTAAAAAATCTACACTAATGTGAAAGGATAATTCCAGTGTTAAATTAGTGCAATATTAAATTGTGAACCAAAGCAAAATCATATTACTTCTACTGACTTCAGTAACTTGTAAACAAGTATTCTCTGTTTGGACAAATAGCAATGAGAAGTTTCTCACACCAGTATTGTTTGAAAAATAATTTAAGTGCATTCTAAAAATGAATTTTCAGTTGGTTTTAATAGATTCAATCACTGATTTGTCAAATTAGGCAATTTTATTTTGAGATGGAGATAATTCTCTTTCATAAACAAAAAACCTTGGGATCTATTGTTTTAAAAATTATTTGGAAAAGAAAACCCATACAACATGTTCTGTTAAAGGCTCAGATTTGTCGATAGCACTCTCTGTTATAGGAACACCACAGTTTTTTTCATATTTATTTATTATTATACAGTAATTAGCTTTAAGTGCCCATTTTTTCAACTGAGACTTTGTTTTGTTGTTACAACCCAGACACATAAAATCATCCCTATTATGAACACTACACCTCTGGGAAGAAAACAAAAGCTGATTTTTTTAATATAGGAAGAGAACAACCCTGAGGCATGAAGATTCTATTCTGTTGGTCACAACGTTCAAAAGCATAAGTAAACCAGTAAGGTAAAGGTACATGTTTCACAGTTTCTGAATTACAGATTCATGAGGTATGCACAAGCAGACATTAAGACTTACATATAGAATGTTCGGAAACAGAAGCCACAGGAAAGGAGGGTTCATCCCATGCAAGTAACTCCACGGAATTCCACAGGTCTTTCCAAATCTTGCACCAGTAGAACAAAGCAGTTGGGCTGTTGGATTGTCTCACTGCTATTAAAGCCCTTAACACATGAATCTCGAATCTGAATTCACAGAGTTATAATGAAGTCACACTGAATGACTCCATGGAAATAAAAAGCTACTTAATAGGTAGATACAACCTGCTGCCTTTTCACTTCTTTGTCTCAGCTGTCCTGCAGAAACCAAGAGCAAATGTGTATTAAATTTATCACACCACAATATTTTACTTCCAGGTGTTCTTCCCTCTCCTTACCCTTTCCCTGCTTTCAAAATACATCTCCAAGCTACTAATACTCTGGTAAAGAGATTTAAGCAATGTTAGTCACCTCAAACACCGTAATATCTTAATCTCCATGTACCATATAAGGAGTTTTGCTGATCCTTCCAGTTTCTCGTCCTTTCCAGTTCATTAGGGGATTCACATTAGATGACATTTAGTCAGTATTATATGGTTTTCTTTCTAGCCAAAGGGGACAAATGTAGAAAAATGCCATCTTGAGCCTATTGCGGTAAAAACCAACCCACCAACACCCCACAAACACCCCCAAGCAACAGAATATATGTTCTAGTCTTGCAAACATGTAGTTACTCAAACCCAGTAGCATTATTCAGACCATCAGGAAAAAAAGTGAAATTAAACTAAATAAAGCTTTATAAAAATTAACAAATCCTCTACTTTTTTGGATGGCTCGAGTTCCTTGTCCGAAGGAGCAGATGTGTAAGTAACCATTTCTTAGGAAGAACTTTCCTTTCATCTGGCCTTTTTTCTTCACAGATCCCTGCAGAATAATGAGTGTTATGCCTCAGCACTCCAGAATAGAGAGCTGATTTTATTTGATTTTTTAAAGTTTTGATCCCTCCCCCTCCAATATAGAAAGAAAATGTGCAGTATGTGGTAAGCAGACTTTCAGGTTTTCTTTATTTGTTAAAGCCAATTCCTGTAATTCCTGTAATTTCTCCATAAAAATTACTCAGCTTGTGTCCATGGTATTCTTGCCCAAATTTCAAGCAGATATTATTGCTCTAAGCAGATACTAAAATCCATACTGTCACCCCATATTCCCTCTGTTTAAATAGTCACCTTTGCCTCAGAAGATGCCAAGATCTTAAAAAATTAAACCCCTTAATCAGAGAAACATGATGATTTCTCCAGTTCTTCATTCCCATCTTTAGAGTTGTTCTGTTACTGTGGTACATAATAAAGAGGGTCAGGTCAGACTCTGCCAGCTCATTGTCTCACATATAATGGCTCCAGCCAACACCCTTATTTCAGATATTTCTCTTTTTGTCAAGCCTCCCACTATTGCATCAGACTGTCTTCCAGTAATTCATTCAAACTCTTTCTCCCTCTGCCAATTTCTCCCTTTGCACTTTTTACAGCATTTTGCTGTCCTCTGCTGTTTTAGACATCAGGAAAACTGCACTGAAAACACAAGAAGAGAGAGACTCATTCCTTATTTTGGTGGCACAGTAGCCAAGAGGAACAATTTCAGATAGACACCACCTCATCCCCAGTAGGGTTCCATAACACACAGGTTTTCCAACTTTATTCAAAGTCCAACCCATTAATGTATTTGTCACTAGCGACAGAATACTGTGAATTTAAACCTGACGATAGGCTTGAGCATCAAACATATCTTGCAAGTTTCTCAGAAGCAGCTTATGTTTTTTGCAGTGGGTCTGCGGATCACAAGCACAAACCTTTTTGAGGTAGAGGGACAATCAGGAGCTCTGTGTGTATAATACATGTGTGGTCTAGTTGGTGCCCTAGAGATTTGAGAGGAAAAAAAGCATTTGCACTCAGTGGAGACAAATCTTCAGAGCACACAACAAGCTATGTAACAAAAGTCTTGTCTCCAACTCCAAGAGTGTTCTGTTATATTTGAAATCCCTAACTCCAATTTTGAAGCCAGAAGAGACTCTTAATGTGTGTCCTAAATTCATTCTCATACACACATTAACAGTTTTACCAGAAACTTTACAAAATGAAAAGAAAGCCTGGCATACTTTGAGTCCAGAAGAAGGGAAGTTTGACAAGCTTTCAAGCAGCTGGAAACAGTTTTGCTTATGAACATCAGGTAATCATAACTAAAACTTCAATACCAGCTCCACATCTGCGTCAAGCAATTATTAAAGGCAGGTTTTAATGTTTTAAGTTTTTAAAGGTTCTAAGGAAAGATTATTTACATAATTAAATTTGACACTTAATACTACTTTGTTCTTCCCTCAGTGGCAGTGATTGCTGTCAACCCCATAATATTGCGCATTCCAACATAATAAGCAGAGATGAAGTAGTAACAAGAGCCCATGCTTTGTTTTGTAACCCATTATAAAACTGTAACATCCTACAGGGAGTTGTAAACAATTTCATTTACAGGAAAAACTAAAAAGTGCCCCCACAGGTAAAAATAAACCCTTTTAGTAAAGACAACAAAGTACTCAAAATATAGCTCCAGAATTTTGGCATGGGTCTACTTGCAAAGTCCATGCCAAGAAACTGTACAGAGAAGATATGCAAGATGGGTAGAACAGAAAAATGGAGTAAATACAGTTTGTTACAGGATTCAGCGAAATATTCAGAATTCTCCATATATATAGAAATACAGAAAGACATTCTACAGAGTGAGAGTGTAAAGGGTAGTTCCATAATAGCTGGCTATAGTGCACCGAATTCCTTTTTTCCTTAGCAGTTGCTTGAGTGATACATTAGGTAAGAGCACTGCTATGCTGCTGGATAATACCAGAATTCTGGATTTTACCAGTACAGCAATTTTACTGTTAAGAAAAACTGCTAATAAAGACCCTGAACAGAAGATTTTTACCAATAGCATACAAAGTCAAGTTACACTGATGCCATAGATATCTCTGTGCTTTAAAATCCTTTTAGTATTTCTAGATTCATTCCACTGGGCAAAAAAAAAATAAATCAAGGTAAATCAAATACATACAGAAACACACTCACTCAAATGGCACTCATTGCGTTTTGTACAATTAAGCTTTAGTGAAAATATACATCTTAAAACAAATGAAGTACAAATGTACAAAAATCCTTGAACTCAGATAAAAAATATATATAATACACTTTGCTACAGAGATATAAAACATTTAAAGTTTGCTCATCCTTTCTGATGAGAGTAAAATGATTTAAAGTCGGGAGGACTCCTGCTCATCATCACTGCAATCAGATTTAAAGCAGACCTGCAAGAGAAGACAAAAGAGAGAATTTGGCTGCAGAACTGACACTATCATTGGTTTGTGTGTTTTATGGCCCACAGAAAGGCTGGGGGTGGGGCGGCGGATGGCTTTTTCCAGCACATTTTATTCCATACTAACTAAATACTTTGGGAATATCAAAGGAAACCACAACCCAACCCCAAATCTCAACTCATTAAAGTTTCATTTAACCTTAAGTTCCTTCCTTCTTTTAACTTCACAAGACAATTAACTGCAGTCTTACAACTTCAAAAGCAACTAAAGGCCCTCAAGCCATATTATTTTTTTTAGGACTCTTTCTCAATACATAGAACTGTATCTTGGGACAGTCTGAAACCTGCTGATTCAGTTAGAAAAAGACTACAATAAGACACAGGCTTTAACTTCAGCTATGTGACATTATCAGTACACTTAACTATGCCTTCTGTTCCATTACTGTAAGTGGGGGAAAAGTGAATTTGAAAAGGTGGACTAAAAATGAGAGTACTATTACACATTCCATTAGCACTGTACCATTTTAGAGAGGTGAATTACCAGCTGATGACAAAAAGTACCATCATGCAATTTTAATACACGACCCTGTTGTATGCTCCTAGCAATTTTAAAATTCCATTTCTGCTTGAAAGCAAGAGTCATTTTCTCCAGAAGTGCTCTCTACTAGAATACACTCATGCTTCTCAAGATAATTCCGCTCTAAGTGCAGGCATACTGAGCAAGCAGAATTTTGTTCAACATCTTCAACTGAAAACCTTTACAAATAGCCTACTTCTCCTGACCTAAAATCAAGCACAATATGCCACATGTCTTTTAGGTGGTAAATATTCAAGTCATACACCTCTAAATGTTTACTAAAGAGTAGAAGTTATGTGTGTAACAGAAGGCTGTGCATTATCAGTTGTGTAAACATGGATTATGTTGTTTTGGTAAAGGCATTAAACTACCTAAGATGTTTTAGTGTTTGTTTCATGACATTTCACACTCGTTCATTTAGGGGATATTTTTACTTATTAAATACACTAAAATGCTTCACTGGGAGCCCAGCTTTCTGAAGGTGTGAGTCCCAGGAGTTGCATTGCTCCATCATACTCCTGAGTTCATTAGTTAATGTTATTTAAGTTTTTGCAAAGATGGCCTCAGTTATCTCTGAAGTAATCTCCCCAGAACTTTTTATAGGAAACTGGCAAAATAAATTAGAAGCAACACCCAAAGTAATATATTTAAGAAAGAGCAATCTATGCCACAGCTGTTAACAGCACACACTACCTTCTCTCCAGTTAACAGCTAGCAGACACTAGAGGAAGACAGAATGCTGAGGGAGGAAAAACTCCTAAAGTTCCATGGATTTCTACTGTTTCTGAAATGCAGTGCAGGGGCAAAGCCATAATAAACCAGATTTCATTAGTTTCAGTATTCAGCAAACAACTAATTTTGCCTATCACAAAATAATATAAAAGACTGAATGGATTTTAAAGTCTTACTGCCAATTTTCTTATGAAAGAAAATACCCTTACCTCTCCACTAAAAAGTCTGTGAAAAAAGCCTCTCTTTGGTTTAGGAGACCTCTCTCTGTCTGGTGACACAGTACCATCCGTTTCATACGCATTGATATCTTCAAAGCATCCCGTTTCAATCATCTTTGAAACACATGAAATACAAATGAAATATCCACACAGATATCCTCTCAGACAAGTTCCATGCATTATCTGTTCAGCCTGGCTCCTAACAACTTACAAATTCATCAGCCAAACTACACCACTTGCAGAGCTCTGTGAAGGAAGACACAAAGTCTGCATTAACTCTTTTTGTGCATCCAGCAAAATACAGAACAGCAATAAAGGCACTGCCATGCAAGTAAGAGTTCTGATGCCCTTTGCTCTGGTGAGGCCCTTCTTCTGCCTACGAAGCCATAATGAGAAGTTTTTAGAACAAGAAATTGATTTTCCTTTCATCTATTCTACTAATTTCAGAGCAGTCAGCCTAACAAATATAGGATCCCTATGCCGTGGCCTGAACTTAATTAATAAACATGATATTGACTAGGAAAAACAATGATTTTGTACAGAATGCCACTACCTGTATAGTACTGAGGGGATACTTGTTACCAAGGGGTTCAATTGCACTTCTGGGGGGGAAAAGTAGCTGATGCCTGACCACGGTAATTTAAACATCATTCTGGTGTTCTGGGTAGAATTCAAGACAATACTGATTTCAGAAAGTTATAAATATAATATGGGGAAGACACTCATAGCAAAAACTACAATTTTAAATAATTGTTACGGAGTGCTCTTTGTGAAATAACAGAAGATTTGAGTTTCCTAAATACAGACTGAACTGCACACAGAGGTAGCAAAATTCTAGTATGCTATGCAGAAAACTAGAATACTCACTCAGCAGGCAGATGAAAAAGCTTTAACAGAAAGTCTGCCTCAAGCTGTATTGAACTGTTTGTTTTGAAACCTTAGAAAAGGTGAATCTGCAGTTCTGTATAACCCTTCACTCAGATACTCTATTGATGCACAGGCAGGATAACGTATTTGCTTTTGAATGTTTTGAATAGCATTTGCTCCCTCCTATGAACAGCAGCATTGAATAACATGTGATAGAACAAGGAAAATGTGGTCATACTGTTGCTAAATACCATTCCATATTTTGCATCTATGATGACAAATGACATTCTGTTTGTGCAGATTTACCATAGGTCTAAATTTGTAGCAGGTTGTTTATGTTTGGGGAAAAACTTGTCTTGGAAGTCACTCAGCAAAGAAGTCTAAAGCAGATGTCTATTTACATCTTACACAGAAAATTAATCCTGTAATTATATCCCTTATAAATCTTCTATATTGCTGTGCTAAAGGAAATAATTTTTAATGAAATATACAATACCTCATTTTGCCAAGGGATTGAGACACAACCCGTAACAAATTTGGAATAGAAGTCATCATCTGTAGTATCCAGGTTCACTCCTTTTACTGTTGAGAACTGCTCGATGTCCAGGACATCTTTACAATATACGGCACGTGGCTGCAGTACAAGACAAGATTGCTTCATTAAGGTTTTGGGCTTGGGGGTTTTTGTGGATGGGTTTGTTTGTTTCCCTAGATGAGCAAAAAGGGAGCAAAATGCCTGCATATATATATATATATATGTGTGTATCTCATGTTGCTGATCACCAAATGACACAATACTACAAAATGACAAAAAATACTACAGAAATGCAAAAAACTTGAAAGACTCCCTTCATAAGGCACCTCAGCAATTCCATCCATCCTGCAAGTAACAGAAAAGAAATATCAAAACCAGAAACAGCACGCAACTTCTCTGGGTTTCTTCGTGGTTGTCATATTTCACTTATCATCTGTCACCCTCCTTTCAACTCCAGAGTAATTTGTTCAAACCTAGTCTTCATTTGTTCAGCGTCTGAGCTATGGAAGTAGGCTTTTAAGGACTAAGAAATCAGTTATTTACTGATTTATTGTAAATCATTTTGTGATCTCAGATGAAATTTGGATATAAGAAAGAAGCTCTTTACTGTGAGAGTTCTGAGGCACTGGAACAGCTTGCCCAAGGAAGTGGTAAATGCTCCATCCCTGCCAGTGTCCAAGGCCAGGTTGGACAGAGCCTTGGGCAACATAGTCTAGAGTGAGGCATCCCTGCCCATGCCAGGGGGTTGGTTCTTTCCAGTATCCTATGATGAAAACAGCGGCATTCTCCTGCCAATTTAACTAACTTCAAGGGCTTCTCTTGACCACATGATTGCTGACATGGAATTATGACAGTTCTTGCCTTTTTAGATACTAATCAAATCTGTCTCACCTACTTACATCTGGCAAGAATGGAGGTTCTAACATGTTAGCTTCCAGCCTCTTGAAGTTAATATTCTTGAAAATAGGATGTTGCTTTACAATAGTAGCTCCATCTTCTGTGCAACCCAGTCGTTCCCCTGGATTTTTAGCAAGTAACTGCAAAGATATGGAAAAAAAAAAAAAAAACAAAAGAAAAAAGACTGATCCAGTGATACAATCCCATAATAAAAAATACAGCAAGAAAGAAAGAAGGAAAGAAAATATATACAATGTCTTTAAAAATGTTTATTTTTTTACCTGGCTTTTTATTAGGTGAAATTTATCATGGTATAAAAATGAACTGGAAATCCAAACTACAACATTCTGGAAGCAAAAAGACTTTTAGTAGGCAAAAGAATCCTTGAAAGCAGCCCCTCTGAAGATTATACCCAAACTTATATAAAACATATTTTAATTGATGCCATACTGAATAGATTTTTACAGTACAGACTTTGCTGTAGACTTCACTTTCAGGAAACAGATTTACTTTTTTTTTTTCTAAGGGGCTTAAGCAATGCACATATTTTGCATAAACTACTCAAGAAAACTTAGAAGCTTTCTGTACAGCCATGCCTCTTATTAAATTTAAGAACACGCAAGATCAAAACAGCTCATCTCATACAGAGTCTTCTATGCAAGGGAACTAGTGTACTATGCCATTTCTGCCCATGCAGTATCAAAGATGAGCATGCTAGTGTACTCCTTCTATAATTACATGTGGTCCAAGGAGTACTGGAACTTTTCATTCAGATAATGAAAAAACAATTTATGCAGCCTGTCTTCCTTTCGAAAACAATTCTGAATCCTCAGAGTTTGATAACTGAACAACTCATGGACATTCACAAACTTCTATCTGAACCAGAGGAAGATTTTAGAACTCCAGAGCTTTGAAAAATTCTCAATGGAAAATGTTAAAGTAATTCATCTCTTAAAAAGGATTAGAAATTTAATTTTCAAACCTCTATGTCTCTTCACCCACCATCCTGCAGATTGATTTTGCCTCCTCTGAGAACTTGTCAGAATATGTTTCCTGGTCTTCCTTTACTCTCCGGTCAATTTCATCCCGTTTGACCCTTTCCTTATGTTTCCTGAATGGAGACTGGCCTTCAATCATTTCATAAATCAAGCACCCGAGACCCCACCAATCCGGGCTGAATGTGTACTTCTCATTTTTCAGCACTTCTGGAGCTACAAAACACAAACAAAGAAACCCCAATGACAATTCCCTTTAAACTGACTAATTGAATACTGGAAAAACTCTTCGGTACTCTTTTGGCTCTGTGCAGAGACCTCTGCATCACTCCTTTGTACTTTGAAGAAACATTCATTTCTACAGTCAAGACTCAGTTTATATCCAAGAGAAGCATCTGAGTTCTTTAACACTTAAGATCAGTATTATTTACAAAATGAGAATGAAGTTCTTTCAAAGCATGAAAATAAACCCTGTTGCCACAGTAATTCATCTGCTTACCTGTGACCCTAAATCTCTCAGAGCCTCAGAAACAAATGAGATACTTTCTTAAAGCTCTACCCAAAACTAGAATTTCCGGAGTTAAGTTTTCAAGTTTAGCATTAGCTATCAGTAATTGACTACTAACATCTACCACCGCATATTGTAACATTTCTTCCCATGCCTGGTAACTACTCCAGGCCCAGAATATTTCATTGGATAAGTCATTCATATATTCACAGAAGCACATTTTCTGCAAAAATATAATTAGCAAAGGACACTTTACATACCCATGTAACCAACAGTCCCAACCCGTCCTCGGACCGTTTCTCCTTCTGGAATCTGCACAGCTAATCCAAGATCTGAAATTCTGATATGTCCTATTTACATTAAAATAAAGTATACATAGTCAGCAAATAATACAGTATTATCACTTTTAATACAAAAAAATTATGTAGCATACATAAAAAAAAACCCACCCCAAGACATTCACATACTCACAAACTTAAGTTTATTTAACTTAACTAGAAAGGAGTGATTTATCATTATTCAACTCTTCCTTAAATACATAAAGGGAGAGAGGAACAGATTTAATTGATTTTCTGAAGGTCATACAAAAAAGTTGCTGTTAAATACTCTTAATTCCTAGCTTTGGCAGAGGCTGCTACTCTAGGACAACTAGAAATGATGACTGTTCATTTCAATTTCTGTATCTATACATCAGACGCTTGTATTTTTCCATTCTATATGCCTGTCCATCACATCAGAATTTACTCCATTTATTCCAAATATGAGCAAACTGTAACTTGTACTGAGACAACCAATTAAACTTTGTTAGATTTTCCTCTAACAAAGCAATAATAATGCTAAGCACAAGAAACTGGAATCACTATCTGCATTCCCACCCCAAAAGAAAAGTAGCTTAGCCATAACCTACTTAGAACGAGTTGTATTGTAACATGTCCATTCAATATTAGGGATTCTCCTTCTCAAGAATCAGTCCAATGTAGATAACAGCTTCTATTTCACTTTATTAGCCAAACTTCCCAAGTTGACTGCCTTTCCTCCTACACATTTACACTACTACCTCTAATCTAGCAGTCTGGTGTGAGACTATGATTTATTATGATGGGGAAACAGTCCAAGAAGGGAGTAAGTTCATCCACCCTCCCTTAAATTCCCATGGACAGATACAGTTCTTTGCTGGACAGACTCAAGAGCAAATGATTCAAGATAGTTCAAGAAAAGAATTGTACTGACATGATTCTAACTTAAGAATACATAAGGTATTTTCTTTAAAATATAAAAGACTAGACAGAAGGAAGGGCAATTACAGCTCCACTCAATTTTACAACAGAAAATTGCCACAATCATCTCTAGTAGAAAGGTTCAGGGAGAGAAAAAACAACAGCCATTTATTTCTAATACTGGATATAGAGGCAGGGACAGTATCATTTACAAAACCAGCACAGATTCACCGAATAACTCAGGCTCAAAGGGATTTCAGAAGGTTTCATGTACAAACTCCTGAGCAAGCAAGTGTTCAAGGATTTTTAAATTCTTGTCTAGAAAACCTCCAAGAGTGGACACTGCATCACCTCTCTGGGTAGCCTGTTCAACTGCCTGAGTGTCCTTTGTGCATATATTCTCTGTCGTTCAAAAGCTCTGCAGGATCAGTGTCAGCTAACAGCATATTAATTTCTTCTTTACATGTAATATAGAATCAAGGGGGAGGGAGAGTGGAGAAAGTCAAGTGCCACTCTCTATACTTGTTGGAAATAACTAAATGCTCTTGAGCAGCAAATGCTATTTTAAATACATTCAGATGCTCTTCCATCCCCTGACATCTGATGAGCCCTTTTTCAAGTGCAGGATCCAAGCTCCTGAAGCGATTTTCTAATTAGGCCCCTCTGCTCTCTGGAACAAGATCAGAATATCCCTGGCAGAGAGAAAGCATTCTAGTGCAGTCCTGCAAGGCTACATTTTTTCCTCAAAGAAGCATTCAGCTTTCGCAAGATATTGCTGGAGAGAAAAATTAAAGAATGCATTTGATGTTTAAGCAAAGCTTTAGGTCTTGGAAAGTGACTTCTCCCAAGCATCACCTCTTTAGAAATTTTATCAGTCAGAACATGCTGACTTTTAAAAATATATTGTGCTAATGATCTTAAAAATGTTTTATTCACTAAAATATTCAGCAACTGCAAAAACAAGCTGGTATTATTAATTCCCATCTCAGAAGTATCGCTGCACATACTCTATAGTGAATTCAAAAGATTCTGACAAATTTCATACAAAGTCACTAAAGAAGATTAATTTGGCTTTTGACAAACAAAACCTACAAACATTTCTCCATGCTGTTTGTACTTCCGTGATTCATTCCAGCCACAAATGCATCAGTGACCATCAGACCTGTTTTAGTTGAACTGTTAAATCATTGCAAGATGATGTTTCAAGTTTCTTTATTTCTTAAACATTACTGTTTACTAAGTAATATTCCAGCACTGCATCTAACAAAACACGTTTCCATAGGTGAAGAAAAGACAGAGAACAAATCTATATAAAAGTTTTAAGCATCTTAAATCAAGGGCAGGGGGGAAGAGGAACAGAAGGAGAAAAGTAGCCATTTAAAGGTGGGAAACTGACTCAACCATCAACACTGATGTCCCTGAAGACCCAGTATTTTCCCCTACTTTCTAAAACAAAAGGGCAGTTTTTTCTTTACTAATTATAATTAACATGTGTCAATCAGATCCCATTTATCATGAAGAAATCCTTTGATTTCTGGCACAGTTTTAATTAGATTTGCAATTCCCAATTTAAAAATTAATTTTAATTTTTACTTACCACAGTCATCCAGGAGTATATTTTCAGGCTTCAAGTCTCTACAAAGTAAAAAAAATAGAAATGTGAATTATACAAAGGCAAAATATTAGTCATCATCAAGTGCAACATCAGACTTCTTGGTTCTGATTAAAGTAATTTTTCCCGTTTCCATCTATGTACAAAGAAAGTTGGGAAGCCGAGGGCCTATAATACAAATAGAACCATAGAACTCAAAATCCATTTTTTCCCAGCTCTCTACTCCATTTATATTAACAACTGCAATTCATATTTGACAGATGAAAAACTTTCCGAAACACTAAAATCCTAATATAAAGTACCACCATCTTACACAGAAATTTGTGCTTATGAGTGAAAGGTATTTTCCTAAGAGTATCAGCCATACAACTCCACAGTGGTAAAACTTGCTTGCAGTGCTTGCTGCAGTTTGATGCTCACTCCTTGCTATGTTCCAACCCCAGGGTTCCAGAATATCAACAGAGAGTAATATTCCCAAGACTAAGTATTGGCTTGGTATCATCCATTCAGATTCCATTCATTTATTTTGGACATGCAGCTTCTAAAGCTTACTGGACACTTCCGTTTAGTTAGGATTCTTTGCATTTTCAACTCTAAGAGTCTATACTACTCTTAACATCAAAGTTTCACATAAAATATTTTTAGCTATTAAACACTTGCAAGAATCAGGAAATACTAAAACAAAAATCAGATCAGTGAGTAAACTTGTACGTTTTTACTTTAAGAACAAAAAAAACTCAATAGGATATTTGGATTTTCTCCCTACCCAAGGAAAATCTGGAGAATCACTGAAGCTGAATCAGAAACTGTTCAGAGATTACTTCAGGATCTATAGTCTAGCAGATTCTACTGAGAACATACATGGTTTTGTACACATACATATGCATGAAATATATAATATAAATAATATAAATTTATATTGAGATATATATAAAATCATGATTTGCATCAGAAAATATGCAGACTGTAATACAGTCTCCTAGATTTATTCCGCCACCAAATATCATGAAGCCAGAAACAGACGAGCAAAAAATCAGTACTTAGCTAAAGATTCAGTTATTATTGGAATAGATTGCTAAAAAACATATGTATGTATATGGGTATACGTACAGTTGTGGAAAAAAAACAAAACCAGTTGTTCATATACAAGCAGAATAACGTAAAAGAAACAATTTTAGGAAGACCAACTCTAGAATTTATATTCAAAATTAAGAGATAAATATACACACCCACATATGTTAACCAAGAAATATATACGCTTTTTCCCCAAATATTCGTAACTTCATGCTCTGAAGTATGTGTATTCATTTAAAGTTTCATTATTTCATAACATTAACTGCACAAAGAAGTCACAAGATGCTTTTCTTCTAATACGTTGAAGTCTGGGCAATCTCCATAATGTTAATCAGTTGACGTTAAATGTGAGATTATAATGCCAGAGAGAACAGGAGAGATAAGAGTAAAGAAAAAGAAATAACACCACCAACACCCCCCCCCAAATTAAGACATTAAATTCAGCTCAGACTTCACACAGAAACACACCTACTTCAAAGCATATAATATATGCTCAAGTTATCTCAAGCAAACAAGTTTAAGAGTTCCATCTCCAAGGTGGTGGATTAAAACCTAACCTAAACCCCAAGGCTTAACTAGCAACATCTGCTGCTCAACAGAAGCTAATTCTGTTCTGACATGATTTTGGTTGGTCAATAGTCAAACTCGTTTCCAGCCAAAATTCCATCTCTTTAATGCTATTTGTTTCTAGGCCTAGCAGTTCTCAAAGAAGTCAGCTTCTGGAAGCATTCAGCTATAAATTCTAGCTCCAGGATGCTTGCTTTGGGGTATCAGCTTTCTCTCTCTTTCCTTCCTCCACCATGACAGATGTCAAAGTCAAATCTTTTGTGACAGTTTTCCCTTATGAAAAGGGAAGGACTGCAAGGGAGGGCTGCAAAACTCAAAAAACTAAAAAGTACATTACAAACACTTGGCTAAAAATACATATATTTAAATTGGACTAAACAGTGACTACTGCATTTGTGCTACAGCTTGCAACAGCCTTCCTACCGATAAAATTCCTGGATAAAAATCCTTCAGGGGATTTTACTGCCAAGATGTCAACTCTTGGGTTTATCAACTACAGCTTCAACAGGTCTTTGAGCCTGATCTTTGATTTTCCAGGTACATTCAGTGGCATTACGAGCACCTACATAAGTTTGTAAGGAAAACGTAGGTATTTGGTAAAACCACTACTCCTTGAGGAGTCACGTTAACTCCTGCAAGAGAACTCCACCAATCAAGTCCCTTTTGGAAAGCAGGGACTGGTTCCCCACTCTGTTTTATGCAAATCCTGACTTTGCTGTCCGTATGATGAGACCTTTTATGCAGCAGATGGATGATTAGCTCCTCTACTGACGGTTCCTGTCTGTTTGCTTATTTTTCTGATGTCAGCAACATATGGCAAGTTAGAGAGTTTCACAAGCTCCCATTGAAGAAGCAAACTGGCTCAATTGCTCTCACAGGGCAGCATGGTGCCCTCCTTCCAGTTCTGCACCTGCTCTTGTAACCCAGTGGGAACCCCACTAACAAAATGGCACAACTGACTCCAGGGTCCTACTGACAGCACTAACACCACTGCTTGACAGTCAGTAGTGACTGGCATAAAGACACATGAAACACACAATAAAAACTGGTGTTAATGGGAAGTCAGGACTAGTTTTTCCGCTTATGAGAAATTTTGCTACTGATGGTGACAGTAAGCTTAGAATACATTATAATATGACTGGCCTACATTAAAACTGCCATTCTAGATCTGAACAAACTGACAAAATGAACTGATTTTACTGCTATCTGCTGACACCCATCTGCACCAAGGATTTCTATTTTCAGAAGTCCCAAATTTCCCTTCTTCCACTGCCTCTACAGGACACTTCACTGTAAATCTACAAAAACATGTTCTCAAGAAAATATAACAGTATGGCACAAAACTACAGTCTGCTTTTAACAGTTTACGCTATTGGTCTAAAAAGCCTTTAAAACTCCTCCTTTAAAGCTGGAGAACAAATGCAATAATAGATCTTGACAGATGGCAACAAGAGAAAGAACTAGCTCCAATTTCAGAAATACGAATATTAAATGCTTTCAAAATGACATCAAAATAAGAACATTCCTTCTGTGTTTTCTTGCCCTGGCAAACAAGAAATACTAGTTACCATAATTTGGAATAAATAAATCACTGATTCATGAAAATGTGCTTCATGATGTTCTCCCCTCCAACAACAGTAAGACTGGAGGTTGCCAGCATAACTTTGTTGATAAGAATAAAATAATTACGGCAATTTTTCCCCAGCCTTGTTTCACTGATCATATATAATCACTGAACTGCTGCTTAAATGCATTTCCATTAAGATGCCTGATACAGACTTTTGATGATGTAACATATCACTGTAACTGGTGACATACTGAAGACTTCCATAACCACCTCGTTTAGACCACTCCAGAAGAAATCACAACCACTCCAAGATCTGGAATCAGACACAGAGAACACTAGGATTTTACATATGTGTTTGAAGGCCTTCTTGTGGGCAAATTGCTAACAATTTGGGCTTAAACACAAGGGCTGGGGGTGGTGTGGTTTTGTTTTTGTTTTTTTGTTTTTTTTTGTTTTTTTGTTGTTGTTTTATTGTGCTTTAAACAGTTTTGTTTTCTCTTGGGCAATGTGAAATGAACTACTTGTTCATTTCAAGCTCATCATGGAGATTGAACCATTCATCTCTGCTTCTCTTCTACCATGTGTGCCAAAACACACTGCATAACATTGCAAGATGGACCAAATTCTTTAGGGAGCCACATGCAACATCCAGCATAAGCCTGATCTATTCTGTGGTTCTGCCACCTTGTGCTGTATGTTAGCCTTCTATACCAGGGAGGGAAAAGACTCAGACTCATTATATTAAAGTAATGCAGGATTATACTTTAAAACTTCTTTGAAAACAAGCGGCACTTGGTGTTAATGCCAGAAACATAAAGAAAGCATTCTTGGCCCACCACTAAGTTAATTTTGCTTCTGTAATATTAATGCCAGGGGTTAAATGAGGTATGTAGAGAGACAAAAGAGAGCAGTAAGACCATAAAATCTCAATTACAATTAATAAGGCTTCTGAGAGTTTCATTAATTAAAAAGGAATAAAGTGTTTATTGGAAGAATCTAAAATAAATAGAGAAGAGGGCAATACAGATTATAATCGACTGTTTAACCTCTTGTGCACAACAAGCAATGCAGCAAGGGACTTCTATAGCCTTCTATGACCTTCTACTTTTAGAGTGGGCGGGAATGCAATCTAATCTTATGTTCCTAAAACTTAAGAGTTACTAATGAATTTGCTTTATAAATCATAACTTACTTCAATTTTACAATCCCACCTTGAATCTACTTCATAATGCTTTAGAATATAGCAACTATCTAGACCTAAGTTAACAGTAAAGGGACAAATAAGTAATTGTGATGGACATGCTGTGAAAAGGACAACTAATTTTTTCTGCTTCTTTTACTATAAAGCATAAGCTTGTTTCAGTAGAAAACAACACATTCAATGCTGAACAGACACAGAAAATTCAAGGTACAAGTGACTATAGATGACACTGACCTGTAAACAATTCTCTCCTTCTGCAAATCCTCCAGACCACAGCACAGTTCTGCAGCATAGAAAATAGCCCTTTCTTCATCAAAGCCAGGATTTCCCATGTTATATATGTGAAACTTCAAATCCCCTCCATTCATTATGGTTAATACTAAACACAGGGCATCTTTCGTCTCATATGTATAGGATAAACTAACCTAAAAATGGGGTAGGGGGAGAAGATGACCATTATTCATTCATAAACCCCAATACAATTCACAGCTCTTTTTTTCCAATATAAGCAACATATGAATCCTTTTTTAAAACAAAAAAGGACAAAACAGCCAAGTACAGAATCATTCCTGCACATACTTGAAGACACAAAGGAATTCAGACTAATGTGCATGCATATACAAACTCTACATCACCATACAAGAATTCAGTGACCTGTCTAGATACCACAGAGCTCCATCCAGACAATACATTTTATTGAGGATGCCCCTCAGCTGCACATTACCTATATTACTTCTTTGCGAAGATATCATACACATAGACCTTATTTTATTAATACCTCAGGAATTTGGCATTATCAAACCATTTTCCTAAACTTCTGTAAGATTTGAAGTTGCCCCACACTAGGGAAACTAAAAAAGTTACTTAAGATCAAATGTGTAGTCTCTATTCCTCTACTCCCCGCAAATAACTGCGTATTTCCCTGGCTCAGAACTTGCCAACAGTCGAGACATCTATAAAGCTCTTTATAGTCTAAATAAATTTAAGACAATGTAATATACTGCAAAATTGAATAATGTTATTTAATTTTAAAACTCAGTTTCAATAGAAAAAACTACACTACACTGATGACCATCTAGCAGAACCTTCAAAATACATCTTTACCCTCAAAGATGAACTAAACCGTACTCTTACTGCAGAAGCATAAATCAAATACTAAATAATAAATTGAAATTAATATACAAATCAGCTTCTCATGGCAGAGGTTCCTATTTAGAGGTTTTCAAATGACAACTCCAGCTCTTAATGACAAATTATCTATCCAATTCCAACCCAGTATTACTGCAGATCCTACATCTAGACTTCCTCTGTTGCATTAAAGAAAAACATTGTCTAGCAAAAGGAAAATAACTTCTGCTCAATCCCATAAAGTGATTTCAAATTCAACTTGGATCAATTATTCATTTATAGTATTTATATATGTTGAAAAATATGACTCATAAATAGAAGTTTCACTCTTATCTCTACAACTAGTAATTTCTGGATTCAATTTCAATGAAGTCAAGCCCATGAGCCTTGTGTGAAAACAACATTAGCATATATATACAAAAACATTATTTACAATCATTTAAAATATTAATGTGCCTGGCCAGCAAATTCTAGTTTCTCTTTTAGCTGGATGTATTCTACAGGGGTTATTGTAATACATAAGGCTCAGCAGAAAATACATACATACATATTTTATACATACAAATACATATTTTTATAAATAACTTCCACTGTCTTCTAACACAGGTATTTTAAACTCCTCTCTGAACAGCAATGCAAAAATTATCAGTAAATGGATTTAAAACCAAAGCAACATTCATTTAAAATTAATATTTAGAGAAAATAAATTCAATGAAAAGATAAGAATTACCTGAGGGAAAAGTTTACTTGGTGTATCTTTGACCATTCCAAGTTATTTCACTGCTTAGTAATTAGAGCTCCTAACAGACCATAATTTATGTGATAGAATCAGGTTAAAGTATTAAGACTAAGACTTTTATTCTCTGGAATTTCTATTTAAAAATTACATTAATTATTTCACACCCAAGATTTCTCTTTAAGCCTTAGTACACAGCAAAGCAACATAACTAACCTGAATTGATACAGCAGTCGAATTTCATGTTTACCTTCAAATGACTAAGCAGTAGAGTAACAAAAGTTATGAAAATACTTAAGGGTATAAAAACTCTAATATTTGAAGTCATAGACATGAAGGATATGCAACTTCTAATGGCAATGAAAAGGTAGACTCTCATGAAGTCACCCCTTTGTAAGTGCATCTAGAAATGACCTCCAAAAATGAAATTACCATTAATTATAAGAAAATAGGTGTATGTGAGGGAAGAAAGAAGTAAAAGAACAAAACAGAGAGCAATGAATTGGAAGAGAGAGTAACAGAAGTTAAAAACAGGATATAGAATATCTTCTTTACTAAAGATAAAAATACTAAGTCATAGGCTGCAGCAGAAGGAATTTAAGCGGTTGTTCAAATATGAGTACTACAGAATAATTTATTCACCTTTAAACAGATGACAAAGATTCAGTGTCATCAGCATGCTGAAACACCAAAACCTGATGTTTTTATTGTGAGAACTAAAGGAGGCAGACTAAAACCAATTCAGTATTGGACAAATCCTCTGCACAGAACTATTCCATCTTACAAAAAACGTACTTCTCATCATATCAATAATTTCTCTCAGCAGTATGCACTCTCTAAATCGATCAGAAAATGCCCTGTGGCCACAAGCTCCTGGAAGAGACTGAAATGAAGCAAACAAAGCAAGACAAACTTCTGAGAGTAAGATCAGAAGCAGATACTTACTACAAACCTACTATTCACTTTTTCTAGAATTCTTTTTTCATTTAGAGCCATTGATTCTCCTTTCCTCTTCTTTATTCTCTTTTTTTCTAGTTTTTTACAAGCATACATTTTTCCTGTTGCCCGTACTTGACAGGCACACACCTGAAAAAGAAGGAAAGTGTGTCAGAGATGGGGGAGTGGGATTTGGGGGATGTGTGTTTAGATTTGTTTTGTTTTGCTTGGGTTTTTTTTTTAAAGAAGATAAAATTTTATTTCCTGTTTTAAAACTCCTGAATGCTCTGAGAAATGAAGGTGTGGAAGTGTCACTACAGGGCTTTCCCCCAGGAAACAACTTTGAAGTATCACAAAAGCTGTAACAGGAGTAGAAAAAGTGATTATACAGCAGGAAACCCGTTTTTGTTGGGGTTGAGTAGTTCAGTAAAGCTGTGGATTTTGTATTGGTGAAGCACCTGATTGTGGTAATAGTATGTGTCTGGGCTAACAGAACAGAGGACAAATATCCACTCCAAAATTAAGCGAGGGAAAGATATTGTTAATTTAGTAGCCCTCCTTCCCCTTCAATATACCCTTTGGTTAAAAGGTATGGAGGGGAAAAAAAGCCCAATGAATTATAAAGAGCATTAATAAAACCTATAAATTTTCCTGTTAAGTAGAAACTACATTCTCATTGCCAAATGAAATTTCTGAACAAAGCAACTGTTGTCTGTCAATGGAAGTTTTCTCCAACTTTGTGCATGACTTAAAATACTAACACATTAAAGGAAAACAATTTGGGTTGATGACAGTTTGCCCCATGATATGTCAAATGTAGGCTGGTAGAATCAAGACTTAAAAAACTGCTCTCTCCTGTATTAAACTTGTTTTTTTCCTTAAGGATTGCCTTGCAGAAAGATACTTCTGTACTCACCTCTCCAAATCCACCTTTGCCTAATACTCGGTAATGCCTGAACGTGTGTTTGGTTACTGGTTGCCTGATTAACAGAAAGAAACAATTACTGCAACAGGAATTACAAGCGTTAATGAACTCCTCCCTATCCCCAGGCCTGTCTTCATTCTCCATTTTCTGTTCTGTGACATCTTACTGAACAACAGTTGCCTTAACCTCATGAAGACGGGATTACAGTAAGTATTATAATAAACTGAATTTCAAATTAAATGGGTGTTCTGATGAGAAACATTGGCTCCCTCATGTGGTCATCACACATTCACAATAGCAGGAAGAAAAGCTGATCAATTAGGCCCTCTGTTGTTTAGGGTTAGAGCCTTATCTGCTCTCCTCAGCAGTCAATTTTTCACCTCCAGTTGTCTCTCTTAGTTGAAGTATGTTGACACATAGGCTGCATTTCAGTGAGATGATGCTTACAATGCAGCATTTAAAGGGTAAACCACTTCTGATTTTACTTAGCTGTTTTGCTTCAAAACAGAAGACTTGTGGTATGCAACAGCAGCTCAAGAGCCACTGATGTAGTGGAAGAGGAGAAGATAACTGGAAGCAGTAAAGGAGTCTGCTATTCTATGCTAAACCACTCTTAAGCAAGTATCAGGGCAGGGCTATTTCATGGTGGTGGGGTTTGTTGATGGTTTTGTTCTAAAAGAGCATGAATGAAGCTTTGTTCTCAGGACAAGAAATGGAGGTTCACTTGGTAGAGCGGAATTTACCATCAAGTTAATACTTAATATGTGACCACAATACACAGCAGTGTTGAATTAGAAAGGATCTGTACCAATTTCAGACTTCTGAAAAAGTTTAGAAACTCCTTTACTATTGATTTAAAAGCCCAAGCTAGATTTTCATAGATATATATCCTGCTGTCTTGTAATTACTATATCTATTCCTGTACCACCCTAAAAAAAAATGATTAGTTACAGTTTTAAAACACTGGGTCATAAAACTAGATTAATCTGCTTCTTAGCCACTTATTACACCAAGTTGGCAACTAAAGGATGATACCATTCCCAAGAAAGACTAGTATCCCATTGCACACTTGACAGCCAAACATACATCCATGATAATAAATTTGCATTTACCCAGTACAAATTTAACACTTGAAAACTACTGGACAGTGTTGTTGGAGTAGTGGCACTCTGACTGTGCCATCAATATCATCCTTTACATCTTTCAGATCATAATTCTTAGATATGCACTGTCATACATTAGGGCTCAACAGCATTTCTAGCATGACAAGCAGAACTGGCCACAGAGCAAAGAAACATAACATAAACATTCTAAATAAACTTACTTTTCCAGCCATTTCCACTGTAAAAAACGGGAAAAATACACACTTTCTTGGTAAGCTTCAAAAGGTCTTTTGCTTAGGTATTCGTGGACAATTCTAGCAACAGGAAAATAAAATCAATCATACTGAAAAAAAAGTAATAAGCAGGAGATGCTATCAATCTATTAAAATATTAGCATCTCTTAATATCTATTAAACATATCAGCAAGGCTGTAGCCAGAAAAACATTGTCACTGTGCTCTACAATGGTTTTAGCCTAGATGTCTCGCAGAGTGAGTGCCTGTCACAGAAAACTGTTCCTATCACAGAAAATTGTTCCTGTCAAAACACTGGTGAATGCCCAACTACTGTTACTTATAGTGACTAGAAAGTTTGACCTCTGCTTTCCCACTGTCTTCAAGCCCACGTAAACACCAGCCTTCCCAGCAGCTATGCAATACATGTATGACTCCACAAGTATGATCTCTGAAAGATATATACAGGAAAGGATCTACAAGTATTCATACACTGTTTGGAGTCTGGTAAGTAAAATTTTATTCTGTTTACGCTATATTCAAACCTGAACCCCAGGTGCCTTATTCCCCTTAAATTAAACACACCAAAGGAGTTGGGGAACAAGTCATTCAAACAGTATTTGGATATTTATTGGGCAGAGGAAAGGGGATGACCTACATAACACATCTTCCATCTGAGACATGTTTTACTAGGTGTTCTCACACATCCCTTTCAATCTTATAATCTCAGGTTGTTACAAAGTATGCTTATTTTTTGTTGCCAGGGAGATGACCCAAGCAATGACAAAACATATTGTAATGCTTCAGACATGATCAAGCATGCCTTGAAGAACCAGTAATATTAGAAACATAATGGATTTAGAAAGACCTGCAACACTGGTAAACATGTACCGTCCCTCCAAGAAGAGCCTTTCCTGTTGCTGCTGTGTGAAATATCACTTCATGACTTCAGAACAAAAGCAAGTTGCATTTGTTTGTGTTAACTCTCACAATCAATCCTCTAATCAGCCATTTTAATGGACTACAACTGTTGGCCTCAGTTCAGCCCATTTTCAAGAACCATAAATTGTATAACATTGTTCAGAAACCTTTCAAGCTTCAGTCTGTAACTTCAGTTTTTCTGAGTATCTTCATCATGGAAGAGAAGTCACTCAAAAAGTAAGCATATACTAAAGAGAAATATTATTCTAATTTACAGAATACTTGGTAGCAGATTATAGTGTGATTTTATGCAAAAAAGAGCACTAAAGAAAAAGCTCTGCAAAAGCCAAACATCTGAATCACATCAGAAGGAAACCTAGTCCTATAATAAATCTGTTTCAAATTCCTTATTTATACTCATTTCAGACATGAAATACTCCTGGATGTAATAATTTCACCTTTCATTTCTCTCAAACACACAAATTTCTCTTCTGGTACTTAAACTTAGCAATGTGCATTTTTAACTTACCTAGTGCAGTCCATAAAAAGGTCCTTAGAAGGGTTCTTTTCCAGTCTTGCTTTACATTCATTTACTGTTTCCTGAGGTATTTCTGGCAAGTGTGCCGCAGACTTAAAGTAATTAGAAACAGGTAACAATGAAAGCAATCAATAGAACAAGTCAAAGTTCTGTATTCAAATTGAAATGAAATCTTCTAACACAGGAAAAGGAAAGGAATGGTTTGGCTAAAAAGAAAACCAACAAGCCATATTCAAGCAAAATTTGTGTTTGTTCCCTATTATAGAAAAATTCATTGAAAGCTACTATAATTATTTACTAGTTCTGTATCTGGGGAAACAAACTTGGCAATAAGTTAAATTTCTTCTCCTTTCCATAAATCTACCACAATAAAAACAAGTTATCTATTTGGCTTGGCAGGATGGAAGGAAAGGGGAAGAAACACACACAACTTGGGAAACTATTTCAAACCAGCCCAGTAAATGTTTTGGGGTTTGGTTTTCATTTTTGCAAGAAATGCACGTGATTTATGGTAGTCCCAAAGGAATTATTAGAAGAGATGTGGCAAACTTGAAGTCTATCTGCTTTTAAAGCATCTACAAGACCTTCATTTGGAATAGAATCTTCTCAGGATGTCCAAAGAGAAGCAGAAAGAGCATCTATTTATAGAAGGCAAATGTCTAATTACGTATCTACAGCTTCTATTGGATATGAAAGAAGAGACTCTTAAAAATCAATCAGTGGAATATAATAAATGCAAAAGATCAGCTATTAATGATCTCCATGCAAAATACAGAGATGCAGAATGCTCCAGAACAAAACAAAACAGCATTTCACTTTGTGAAAACCTGCAGCAATTCTGACCATTTACAGCAAATCAAGCCAGGCCACACAGGAGTCTGAAAGAAGCATGAGGATTTCAATGTCTTCAATCTACAAAACTCTAAATTAATTTGTTAATAAGTCTTCTTTAGATGCTAAATGAGTTTGTTCAAAATAGATCTTTGAGACCAGCATTTTAATAGGAAAATAAATTGTCATGGTAGTAGTCTTATAAGCAGATGAGTCAAGGTTTCTGCTCAAGTTGCAATGTTTCACAGCAGAAGGCAGTATACCTTTCAGAAAGGCAAAAATGGGACTATTGAAGTTAATTTACTACAATGCAACCACTTAGATCTTTATTTATCTGACATTTACAAAACACTTAAGACATATTTACCCCATTAGTGAAGTATGTCTCTAAAACTTTCAGGCCACAGTCTATACGTTTTTCATCTGAAGATACCTCATATTCTGCCTAGGGGAATGGAACAGAAAATCAAGTTCTGTTTAGAGCTATTTCCCATTAGTGCCTTTGGTAGATAAACTTTACCATAACACAATGCTCCTAATATAAAATAAACTGGAGGCTCTCATGGTTAAAAATATTCAAAATCTATTTAAAGATTTTTAGGCTACATAGTGAAATATGTGTGATGAAAAGTCAAGAAAAAAAGCATATGGAATTTAACTTTTGGAAAACATACAGAAACTAACAATTAGTCTAAATGCAGTTACAGAAACTGCATCCTATATGTTAAATTGGATACACTACAATGAAGTAGTATTTATGTAGTATTGCAGGGCAGAATGATCCAGATGGGAAATAATTAAAGAAAAGTACAATAATCAACTTCACTGCATTTTTTTTTCCCTACAGTCCTGCATAAAACTGGGATAAAACTACTACCTTCCTACAAGATCATGTTAACTGCAAATAAGTGAGATCTAAAGCAAACCCTACTTCATTCATTGAGAAAACTTAGGAGATACAAAACTTGTGAAGTTTTTAACTTAGTAATATATGGTACTGTTAAGTAGAAAGAAGACACCTTGTGGAATACCATGTGTTTTGCAGAGCTTAACAGAGCTCCAGAACTCCTTATGGAAAAAGACCCCAAAGCAACAAACCATCAGACATCTACTAGTTTCAAAAAACTCCAAGGACTACTTACTAATAGTAATTTCATGAAATAATAAAGAAACAGACATCAGTGGTTACAGCATTTATAGGTAACACAGAATCTGGGGAAACATTAGAAAAGAGCACTATCAAACAGCAACCGGTATTATCTTTACTAGCTGGGCTAACACAACAAACTTTGCCTTTCCCTTGACATCACTGCCTCACAAACAAAAAAGAGCTTGAACAAGGTTGCTGAAGTCCAGTCCAGAAAAAGGGATCAGGAACCACCTGTAAGAGATAGTAGGTATTTTATCTCACTTCCTTGATCAAGACAGCCTGCTACCTTTCCAATCATGGCAGTCACAGATTAGAGATTATTTTAGCTCTTAAGAGCTCTTGCTCTTCTTCAAGAGGCTTGATTCCCAAGCATACTTCTTCACCATGACTTTTCAAATGGAAGTTAAAGAAAAAAAAAAGAAAAAGAAAAGAAAGTAGTAAATTGTGAAATCATCTCTTGCATCAGATTAGCTGAACTCTGCCAGTCTCTAATTCACAGAAGCGTTGCAATCCACATAACATCATAGGTCGCATATTTCAAAACAATTCAAAATCTTCAGTTAATGTCAAACACAGTTACGTCTTAGAGTTTCACCTGAAAAAATGACATCTGTAAAGCAAAGACATACCAGCCTTACAGTCATACCTAAGATTCTTTTCTTCTTCATGCTGCCAAAGATTCTGCTACTCCCTGTCTAAGCTTCTAAGGATTAAAGTGTGTACAGAAGTTGTATCCATTAAGGGTACATCCACAGTTGCCAGTGGTCTCTCCATTGTGCAATGCTATTAAAGCCTCTGGTTTACATTCAATTCAGGATATTTAGCTCCACTGTTCTTGATTTCCATTCAATCTATTCTATGTCTGCAACTGTCAAATCGGACTCTTGAATTTGGTGCTAGAACAGCTCCTAAGAGTCCTAATAGTACATTGACAATTATAAGACAGTTCTACTTATCTGACACAGAAGTTCCTTTTAATTGATCAAGTGCCTCAGTTTATAGTCCCGTAAGGGGAAGGAAAGTATGAAGTGGGGGGCACAGCAAGAATCCCATGTACTTCTTTACACCCTGCACCTTTCAGAGCCATTTTGCATTCTGATACTGTATTTTGGGACACATGTAGGCAGCTGCACTACCCTACTTCTACCTTCTTTGGTCATTTGTTCCCTGAATATAAGAACGAAAATGGGGGGGATGAGAAAAACTATTTTTTGGCAGCAAACTCATTTTAAGACTATATTTTACTGTGCTTGGATTAACTATGAAGGACAAAGAATAAAAAGTCTGAGCTATTATTCTCTTCTCGTAAGGACTGCTGTGTGCTTGCCTGATTTTCTCATTACTTTCCCCCTCCCCGTGAGAGAGGGGGGGAAAACCCATAAGGGTTTTGTGTGAGGATTTTTTACAAAACATGGCTGTGGGCACATTTCCTTCCTCCCCTCATTTTTTAGCACTAGATGTCAAGATGCAAATGTATCAAGACAAAACACTTCCTTTCCCCTTGGTCTCTAAAGTCTGGTTTCTGTCCTTCCATAGATGGTTCTCTAAATTTCCATCTCCATTGTATTTTATTTTAATTAGCACGCTCTGTCTAGCCTAGGGCTTCCATGCATGTTGCAACATTTTCAAGTCTATGTTTACAGCATTTTCAAGCCTGAGTATCATGTAATATTCTTTGTATGCACATCCTTTTAGGCTCAAGAAGTCAAGCAGCATGTCTCTCAAATTCTCTCTCTCATTTCCATCATAGTCAATGTTGTAGCTCTGACTATACCAAGCAACTTCTTCCCATCAGCTGGAAGATGTTCAGCCATTTCCAGGGGAGCAGGGCTTCATCATCATGCATAATGGCTACTTGGCAAGACAAGAGTTTAACTCTAATCTCCTCCCTTTTTCTCTCCTTCCCCCAGCTTTATATGCTGAGCATGACACCATACGGTATGGCACATCCCCTGGGTCACTGGGGTCAGCTGTCCTGGCTGTGTGCCCTCCCAACTCCCTGTGCACCCCCAGTCTACTTGCTGGCGGGGTGGTGTAATGAGTTCAAAAGGCCTTGATGCTGTGTAATCTCTGTTCGGCAATAACTAAACCATCCCTGTTATCAATGCCCTTTTGGTCCAAAACCCAAAACATAGCACAACATGACCTTCAGTGTACAAAAAACAGCACAAACCCCAAACTTTTTCTACAAAAAGAAAATGTATAAGCTATTGCCTACTGATATCCACCTCCAATTACTCACTGCTTACCACTGCATCCAGAAATTCAATGCATCTTTTCAGATCTGGTCTGGAATCACAGAACTGTCTGAAGAGAAGTCTTCCTATTGGCTGTTTGTCACAAAGCTGGTTATAGTCTCTTTCTGAGGAAGAAATAGTAAGTAAATACCTTTATTTCTTTTTGTCTTTGTCATAGCATGGTCCTTTACTCCCCTTTGAAACTAGGTCAGAAAAATATCACTAAAACCTGAAGTTTACATTAACATATTTAGCAAAGATATCTAAAGCATGTAATGATCCCAAAGAATAGTAAAACACTTCCAGCCATATTTGTGCATTACAGACTATCACATTTATTAAAAACACATTGAATGACATGGTTAAGTTTAATTCAATCCAGGCTGGGGGGTGGAAAACAACAATATTGTGAAATAGCAATTCCAAAGCAAACAAGATTGTTTGGAAAGAAGGAATACAAGATAGTAATATAAAACGTTAAACAATTACTACAAGACACTAAGAAGTAAAGGGAAATATGTGACCATGTCATTCAAATTACAACACGATTCCTTTTTGTAATTCATAGCTTTGTAAATTTATCCTTTAGGAGCAGTTTCCTTTAACAAACAAGGAGCTGTGAAACAGCTTTTATCTCCTCATAAATTCTCCATCACATTAAAAGTGGTAAATGCTGATGAGCATTCAGAAGCCAGACAGAATCCTTTCAGTTAACATCACCCAACTCTTATCCTTCCTTCTCAAGGAAATCAGACAGATCATTCTGCAGGACACCTACCAATTGAGCATCTAATACCTTCACAGTGACTAACAGGTGGCAACTTCAGCATCTCTTTCCATTTTTTACTGCGCCCACTCCGTTTGCCTAGAAAAAATACATAGAGTAATGTAAAATACAGTGCTATGTCAGAATAAAATTAAATATAACATTAATTAACAGCATAAAATCAGGTCACTTCTGCACAGATCTGCGTTTCATGACTAAAAGAAATCCAGCTATAAGGATACCCACACCAGTAACAAACTTGAGACAGTATATATATATGAAACACTAAAAAAGTGCAGAAAGTCTTTTGCAAGACAAATGTTTCACATTTTAGCTAAGCATGCAGAACACCTTTTCTGTGTTCTGAGACAAGGCAAATTATGTAGGTGTTCTGCAAATTACAAACAAACAGAAACATCATAGATAGAAACAAAAAAATATTGAGAATTCTCTCTCAACTATGGTGAAGAACAGAAGACATTAAGGTTGAGTAACAAAATACATAGAACAAACACAATTTTGGATAATCAGGTGGTACATAAATATTCCCTTTCTTTTTTCTTAAGGGCAGTAGTAGTAATAAGAGTAGACCCCACTAATAAATGAGTGGGCACTGCTCAAATAGACAACATCTATTGTAGACCATAGGTGGATACAGGACATCACGGATAACTGAGCTGTTGTAGAACTCTAGTATTTTCAATGCTTCAGGTTTCACAGCACTAGTATTAAACTGATTTTAAAAAGCTACTACAGTATTTCCCCCATTGTTTCTCAGAAACTGTATGTGTGCTCCATTTGCTATTCAATTGGAATTTTAGCACATTACTTTGATCAGAAGCAGCCAAATCCACTTACAGAAGATAGGAGTACTTATAAAAAAGGCAAAGTGACAGATACAATAGCATATCAATATGTGTAATTGCAAAACATTTCATCAGAAAAGTAATTTCTGTGCTGCAAAATACTGTAGAAGAAGATTTTACTGAATGATACACCCAGATGTGTTTCCACATGAAAGAACAGTAGCAAAACTTCACAGAAACTTTCTAAGAGCACCAAAGCAGTACGTACCGTTAACCACAATGGGAGAGAAAGGAAGGGAGTTACCCCATGTAACCCGAATAGAAACTAAGCAGCAAACAGTATTCAAGTCTTTCAGTTTTAAATCGTTAGGGGAAAAGGAACTAAACACCTTCATAATAATAAAATATGTTTTACAAAACCCTCTTCTCTCAAACATACAGGTTTTTGAAAAGTTCCACCATTGCAGCCAGAGCAGTTCCAGCTTAGTGTACCCTAGCTCAGACCAAATTTACATGATCACTATTACAGGACCATTGAGCTGTACCACTGTACTGCTGCAACAAAACATTCTCAACTCTAATATCACTAGAAAAGTAAACAAATAAGGAATATAAACCCTTAAAATGTTGGCTTGCAGAGATTTTTTTGAACCGATACCTACTTTCTAAAAAAACCTTCTTCTGCACTGTATTTCTTAATGAAGCCTAAGTCATTCACCTTCCAAAATGGTTCAGAATGCGAGTATTTGAAATCTACTTCACACACACACACTTCACGCAGTGGCAGCACTAATCATGAAGCTGCAACTACCCAGCATCATTAAAACAAACTCCAACTATTGTTAACAAAATATTTTTTATGTTACAAAGGAGTTGAACATATGCTTGCAGAAAACCAAACCACACACAGCAAAGAGCACTTCTAAGAGAACCTGACAGAAATAAAAATCAAGTAATACTAACACAGCAAGCGTGTACACATTCATGGAATAGAAAAGGACTGGATATAGATTATGTGATCATGTAAAACCATGGACAGAAGCATCACCATAATTTCTAACCATGCAATTGAAAAAGACACTAAGCTGGAAGGTCCACAGAAGTGTGGGTTTTTTTTCCTTTAAGAAACTGCTCAGAAAGACTCATTTTGCATGACACGGTACAATCAGTACTGACCAAGAATGATAAACTGACCCAAACTCACACCACAATGCTGTTCAGCAAAAGCAAAACTACACTGTGATATACAGCAAGTATATCATCTTCTGAAGCACAAAGGGAACAAAACAAAACCAGACAGTAAACAAACCTAACAAAAAATACAATCCAAAAAGAGGCTCACTGGTGCATTATACACCAAGTCCAATACATGCTGTATTTTGCCCCATATATTTAGCCAGTTATTTAGGATGTGATCATTACAAAGAGAACACATGCTAGAATGTAACTGAATTCACCATCCTATAGAAGTCAATCAAGACTACACATAATTTATTAATATACACAAGAATCAAGTGCTTAGGAGTATCAACTAAATCAACATGCTTTCTCTTTTCTCTGAACTGACTGTTCTTGTATTTACAGCAAATGCAGAGTAGGTCTGCATGTCCTAGTAACATAAAGAGAATGCATGACCTACATCATTTACAGATAAATCATCCATTTCTGGTAAAAGCTGTGGGAGGAGACCAATTTGCTTGTCATATTATTTCCTAATTGCAAAATCCCTTCCCATTTCTGAGGCAGTTTAAAAGAAGTATCAAATCGAATTATAATAGTTGTGGTTTATAAGTGTCTTAATATTGATTTCAGAGCTTCTATTCTGGATCCCATTCTAAAATACTTTAGATAAAATTCTTCCAGAAAGACCAACAGCTTACTTTGCAACAGAGTAGCAACAAAGCCATTAGATTAATCTGCTTTATGGTTGACCTACCTGGTTCAGATGAAATACCACTTTTGCCTCTTTCAGATGCAATTGCTGCCTAGAACAATGTCCAACTTGAAGCAACTCATCTTTTTACAAAGGGAAGGGTGGATGTAGCAATACACCATTACAGTGAGGAAATACTGCAATTACATTCTCAGGTACATGAGAACCTTACCTTTTTCTCCTCCCCAAATTACTTCTTGGAGTTAGAATTTCAGCATTTACCTCTTTACATGTTTTTGCTTCTTAAAAAGAGACATACTCATTTGAGTTAGTCATTGCATTGGAATATGGTCTGGACAAGACATTTAGATGTTTTCATTTTTCAACTTTTTTTTCTTTTTAAACTCCAGACAAACATTTGAAAAACTTACATAAGGCAAAGTGATTGGTTTATTCATGAGTGAAAACACTAGTTGCACAAAAAGAAACTGCTGTGTCAAAACAAAGCAATCTGGTGTAGAAACAGATTTAGACAAATATTTTTTGAGTCACCAGATGGACTTCCACAGCCACAGTGATCTTTGCAGGCAGGATTTGTAGCATGACTCTCATTTCACTGAGCACAGTGTTCACTGAACAACATTAGCAGTCAGTCTTCCTTGAGATAGAAAACTTGGACTGTCCTACAGAATGACAATAGTGAGAAGCACTGTACTTTCTGGCTAAGAAATTTACACAGTCTGTATGTGGTGAGATTCAGTGGCTACTACATTGACACTGAAATCATGCCATTAAGTTGTTTAGGGACTTTCACGCTCCAGCTTTCTTGCCTGTAAAGGGCAAGGAACACACCTCTGTGCTTGAGAAGCATGCAGCTATGAAGCACTAGGGCTGCATGATTGCTACAACATCATTCTTGCAAAACTGATTCCACAAACCAGATTGTCAGATACCAACTGAGAAAGTCACACCAGACCACACCCAGATAAGCTCTGAAAGCATAAAACTGCAACAAGACAATGGCCTGCCATGTGCCTGTAACTGTATAAATCAATCGATTTAGTGAAAAATGCAAAAAAATTGATGCAGAAGCTCCACATCATCTATACACTGAGATGCATGAGAATAATCTGGGTACATACAATAAATCTTTCCCACAGCAAAAAAGTTGCAGGCAAGTTTCCTAAGAGATTTTAAATTTACTTGAATTCCTGTGTTCTTCTTATTAGAGACATTTTTCTTCAAACCACTCACAATAAGGATTAAAACCTTTCACTGAAAAATCAACACATTCCTGTTTAACTATGGCCTTATGCTACAAAGACATTTGTAAACACTGCTCACTAAGTAACAGATTTTGCTGGTTTCCCCTTACTGTACTTCTTTGAAGGGTCTCTGTAATGTTTTCATTGTGCAGGTCAGATGGATTTTTTGACATCTCAATTCTTTGAAAAACAAGCCAGGTCACAGTTTAATAACTAGATTTAAGAGAGTGGCATCTACTTTATATGGAGAAAGATTTTTTTTCCTCACAAGTATGATACAAATAATCTGGTGGGCTCTCAGCAAGTTTGCCAGAAAGCTGAAAATTCAGGTTTCAGCACAAGGTAGGCACCAAACTCTTCAGTGTTATAAAACCCAAGGCACTTCTGAACACAAACAGAAGCAAAAACCCAAGCAGCTCAATAAATAAATACATATGAGATAACTATAGTTTACAGATTGTTATGGTATTTTTAAGGTAATATTCCTCACATTCCTGGGTTCAAGTGGCTAGAGCTGGCCTTAAGCAAGGTAACATTTGAGTCCTCTTGCTCACTGTCAGAATAGTAACCCTGTAAGCATTAAACCCCCAGGTACTTGTGAACATTTGTGTAGCTTGTTTATATGCACAATCCTTTATTGTTCCCACAGCTATAACCACTTGAACAACTGGTTCTTCCCATCAGTTCTATATACATTTCCAGTAATCATGTGCACATTTCGGAATGCCAGTGCATACATGCTAAACAGCTTATGCTCTTCTCCAGAAATTAGGTCTGAAAGCCTTGTATAAACTCAAGTAAATGTAACTAATCTGAGTCACAATTTGTTAAACTAATCTTGAAGTCAAACAATGTAACATCTGCGTATACATTCCTGTTGCTACGTCTGTAACAACTTAATAAACAGGGCTTAGTAGAGAAAACAAAACAAAAAACCTCAACAGTAAGAAAACTCCAATTTTACAGACAACTCCTTAACAAGAATTTTTTTTTATCATGATGGTACATCAAGACTGCAACAGATAGAAAAGTAAAATTCCTTGGAGTAGATTGTGAAACCTCTACTTCCAATTGCCACGTTTGAAATAACCAAAGCACCAGTGTGTATCAATAAGTAGACCTCTCATGTTGTGTTTATTTAGTAAACATAATTAT